GTTCTCTCCAGTGAGAGAGTCAATGAGACTGAGCACTGGGAGTGCAGAAAGGAAAGCAGTTAAGGCTGGCTTGGAGCACTGGGAGTGTAGAAAGGAAAGCAACAGGCTGACTAAGCACTGGAGTGCAGAGAGCTGACAAAGACACTAGGTTGGTGAAACCAATATTGTTTTGTTCTAGTTTAACCCCTGAGAGATAGGGAACCTGATGTTAGTAAGTGCTCAGACGAGCTAGGTTTTTGTTTATAGGGATTTGTGATATTTAGGTTTTATTTATGTCTGCTGTCTCCTGTGTGGACTTATAAATAAAGTGCCTGGATTATATGCAAATAAAGGACTGTGCCTGTTGTTTACCCTACAGGACCGTGCTACCTGGAGACAAGGATCACTATATATATATATATATATATATATATATATATATATATATATATATATATATATATATATATATATATATATATATATATATATATATATATTATGCCTGAACCTTCATTACACACGTGGGCATCAGAGAACATTTTTCATTTTTGCCAACCACCAGTGATTTGTGCACTTGGAGACACAGTTGATTTGTGAATCCATATTACAGGAAAGTAATCCATGGAAGTACACAGATAAAGAAAGTGTCTTAATCACCCTGGAATAATGCCATTCCATGAAAGACTATTTACAGGCAGTCAGTAAAGGAAATCATCTGATTTTAAAATGCCATAAATCTCAAGTTGGAAATTACTTGTGGTCATGAATGTGGATTTATATTTTTAGTATTTCTTGATGCCATTCTAAGGTGCTGCCATTTGGGGCTTGCTTTTAATGCAATCTATTCTAAAAGGTCAGTTTGGCTAATAAGACCAGCTAAACATATCTCAACAGCAGGTATAGAGGAACAGATGATAAAATAGAAGGACCATTATTTATGTTACTTATCATCATGAAGGATTAAATGAAAATCAATCAGAAGAGCTGTGGAGTGTCAAATGGACAGCCAAAGAAATTAGAGCTATTTTTCAGTGTTGTGCTTACTATGGGTTATGTTTGGATTTCCTTTGAGTTACCACCATGTACATATACACAGGCACAAACCAGCAAAACACATCATGGAATTAAATCTACCTTATATTTGATCACTCTATTGTAAAAGTGATCCTACTTAACTCGGTGCTTAATAAATCATCTGCCTACACAATGTTACACTAATTTTTTTCCCTTTGTATCTGGATGCCAAAACTGCTGACTGCCTGCCGAGGGTCCTCTACTGAACAATGATTACAAAGTCTGGATATGGTACTATCCCAACTATCTTTAATCACAGCAATTTTACAGTTAGATTGCATAGATATTTAATTTCTTCATTATATTTCAATTATTATATTGCGAGTTGTGTATTTATTTTGTTTGTTCTCAACTTTAATGTACCCATGCATGTACCCACTCAATGTTTACAGTCTTATTTATAGAAATCTAAGATTAACACATGGCTGTTACACCTGTTAAAATCTCCATCATATTTATACAAGAAGCTATTTTGTCACTTTAAGTAATTGTCTAAAGTCTGATGAGGGTTGAAATTTGAAATAGAACATGCAGCATGGACCAAAACCTTTCACATGATTGTGGAACTTCTCAAACTGTGAGTAGCTTTTCAGAATGCAGAGCTGCAAAGTTTTTTTTTTTTTTGTTTTGTTTTCAGGATATACTTATACGATGGGGGAACAAGTATCAACTTATCTCCCTGGGTGTGATGTCATAATAAATAATATTAATAATTTGCAATTTTTATAGTGCTTTTCTCCCTGTGAGACTCAGACTTTACAAGTATACAAACATGAAGACATAAAAAATAGGAGTTTCTGAAGGTCAGCTGATCGGACTGAATCCCTGATGGAAGAGGTGGTTCTTTAGCTTTTTTTTTAAAGTCTGTAAGGACGGTGCCTCTCTGATTGCGCATGGTATAATGTTCCAGGCGATAGAGGCAGTGAACGGGATGTAACCGGATATAATATAGGGTGTCAGGAGCTCTTTCAGGTACTGTGGGCCTTGATTATTTAAGGTTTTGAAGGTTAGCAGGCCAATTTTAAAATATGTTCGCCATTTAATTGGAAGCCAATGCAGGGAGTGGAGAACAGGTGTTATATGGCAGGAGCGAGTTTGATTGGTTAGTAGTCTGGCTGCTGCATTTTGTACAGTCTGAAGGCGATGGAGTTCTTTTTCTGGAAGGCCCAAGTAAAGTACATTGCAGTAATCTAGCCGAGAGGATACGAATGCATGAATTAATGTTGGCATATCATCCGCGGGAATTAAGTGATGTATCCTAGCTATGTTTTTCAGATGAAAGTAGGCAGATTTTATTACAGAGGAAATCTGCTGTTTAAATGATAGTCCAGAATCAATCAGCATTCCAAAGTTTCGTACTTTTGATGAACTGATGAGTTCAGAGCCTCTAAATTGGGTGATCATGGGATATTTTTGTTACCCGTTGTCCCCTCACTAAGAGTAACTCAGTTTTGTCCGGGTTCACTTTAAACCAACTAGCATTCATCCATTCTTTAAGGTCTGCTAAGAAACTGTTGATGCGGCATGTTGGGTCTGTGGTATCTGGAGCAAAGGAGAAGTAGAGTTGTGTGTCATCAGTGTTACCTTAAGCCATGTCGCCTAATGATGTCCCCCAGTGGTAGCAAGTAAATTGCGAATAGCATGGGAGACAAGATGGATACTTGTGGAACTCCGCAGGCCAGTTTTATTGGTGCCGATGAGCTTGATCCTGATGTTACACTCTGTAATCTATCAGTGAGGAAAGATTTAAACCAGTTAAGGACTGTGCCTCCTAGACAACAGATGTGCTGCAAGCGCTCTATTAAAATCCCATTTTTAATGGTGTCAAATGCAGATGAGAGATCCAAGAGGATTAGGATGGAGTAATCACCTTTGTCTCTCGCCATAAGGAGATCATTTAGCACTCAGACTAGTGCTGTTTCAGTGCTGTGGCGGCATCTGAAACCTGACTGGAAAGATCAAAGATGTTCAAGCTTGATAGATGGGCCTCTAGTTGAGTTGCCACTTACTTTTCAATTATTTTGCCTAGAAATGGAAGGTTGGATACTGGTCTGTAATTAGCCATAATAAAGGTTTCTTTAGGAGTGGTTTTACCACAGCTTCTTTTAGAGGATCTGGGAAGTCTCCAGTTTTTAGTGAACACTGCACTAATTTTGTGAGGACCGGGGTGAGTGTTTCAATGAATGCAGATAGAAGCTGAATTGGAGCAGGGTCTAAGTCACATGTAGTCATTGGCGGATCCAGAGCCTGATCTCGGGAGGGGCACTTGTAGATTATTTAAAGAAATAATCCAGACACAATAACCACTCAGTGTAGTGGTTATGGTGTCAACAGTGCCGGGACCCCCTCCCAGAGTAAGTAGTCAAACCGTTTAAGAACAGTTTGACAACTTACCTGAGGTCTGCTGGGAAATAGGGCTGTAGTAGGGCATATGAGCAGTGGTGTGTGTGAGTAGTGCAATGTGTAAGGGGTGCAGTATGTGTGTGTGTGTGTGTGTGTGTGTGTGAGAGGGGGACAGTGTGTGAGCAGTGTGTGTGTGAAGGTTGTAGTATGTGAGTGAGGGCGGCAGTGTATGTCAGGGATGCAGTGTGTGTGTGAGTATTGCAGTGTATGTGTGAGTGTGGACAGTGTGTGTGTATTGGGGGCAATGTGTGTGTATGGGGGCAGTATGTGTGTATGGGGGCAGTATGGGGGCAATGTGTGTGTATGGGGGGCAATGTGTGTGTATGGGGGTGTATGTGTATAGAGTGTGTGATAAGGGTAGGTTTTTTTTTTTTTTTTAATAATATATATTTTTATTTATTTAATTAAAATAAATATATACTCTATGTCCCCCCTCCCTTCTTACCTTTACTGGGGAGGAGGGGGGACATATTTCGATCCCTGGTGGTCCCAGTGGTGATTCCCTGCGAGTCCCATTGGGGACAGTGAACTCTAGCCCGGCTAGTCTCGCGAGATTTGGAGCGTTGCCGTGGTAACCGCGGCAACGCTGAAAATCTCGTGAGAGGAGGACCCGGAGGAGCTGCAGCCTGAGCTCCCGGGTCCTCTCTCCTCCCTCTCCCTCCCCCGCTGGTGCCTGCGGACCGGGGAGGGAGAGCTCTGATCTCCCCTCCGGTCCGCAGGCACATTGCAGGGCTAGCACCTGCATGTGCTGCTGGCAGGGGAGGGAGACCGGCGGATTTCTCGGGGGGGGCAATTGCCCCGTTGCCCCCCCCCTGGATCCGCCACTGCATGTAGTAGGGTGTAACTTTTGCATGGTTCTTTTAACTCCCTTTATATCCACATTTGTAAAAGTGGCTCATAAACTGGGGCAATCTGGCATTCCATTATAGTAGTTCTGGTGTGTAACTGTTTGGCCTGCTGTGATAGATGCTCAAATTGAGGAAATCTTGTCTCTGAAGAAGATCGCAAATGCTTCACACTTTTCCTGAGGAAAGTTGGTGGGGATATGCATGCATGCTGGTTTGCAGTGCCTTTCTACTGTGCGAAAAAGTTGCCTGGATCTATTGTGGGAGAGTGCAATTTCATGTGATAAAAAGATTTTTTTTCTGAGTTATCTTGAATTGATATTCGTTTAGATGTTTGGTAAGAGTGGCTTTATCCTCTGGATCATGTGCCCTGCGCCATTTTCTCTTGTTTACAGTCTGTTCTCTTCATTTCTCTGATGGTGTTATCAAACCACGGTACATTGTTGTGGGTTTTGACTCTGTAGAGTCAGACTTAGGAGCTGGGATCTTCACAGGTGCCCATTAGTTCACTTAGATCCAAATGTGATGTTAAATCCAATGGCGTCACCCCTTTTAATGAGCGGTGTTTGACCAGGTTGTGAGGCTGGGGCCTGGCTGATTGTGATACAATGGAGAAGTGACTAAAGTGGTGGGCTCGGGCGGCGGAACACCGTGTAATTGCCTGGAATAGCTGCCTTTAGAACAGGCTTCGCATTTTCATATAGCCATGATTCTGCAGTGCACTTCAATAAGGTCGGTAATAATAGCTGTTTTGTTTCTAGTTGATCTGGCATTGCACAGGATTGATCTGATAGGACAGTATTGTGATTCTGAGTTTTTGCTCTGTACTTTGGAAAGAGTGTGTCTTCTAATGGAGATCACACAAATAGGTTTCCTTAATTTGATAGTGTGTTTTTTGTGGCTTCTAGGTTGAATCACTTCAATTGGGCTTGCAGGTACACAGGGTTGTGGAGCAGCTGTGATAGTGCCAGGAGATTGAACTTTAAGTTTTGATTTTCCTCCACGACAGCCCCTGTCAGTCCCTTTGAAGATGTCAAGTGAGTTTAGGGTAACCACCAGCAAGGAATTGAGTGCAGCGACAGCTTTTTGGGATCTTAGGGAATACAGATATGAGGGAGTATAGGGGATCATTCCATCAGCAGTGAAGGAGTTAAAATAGCTTCTAGTTTTTGTAGGGATGTTAGCAGTGGGGGCTGGTTACATTGTCCTGCTCTATAGGATTGAGGTATGAGATTTTGCACCTCAGGCAGCATTGTAGATAACAGATAAGACAGCATGCATGCGGGTCAGATTACAGGAGTTTAAAACCAATGTGTTTTAGTAAAATAGTTTTCATCAATTAGTTTTCTTGGTGTTAAGAAATGAAATCTGAGCATTACTGAATGGTTGATCAAATCCAAAACCCAATTTAAATCTACCTTGTTTGTGGTGTTCAGCTGAAGGTATCTCTTCCTGGTAGTAAGATGGTCAAGTGGAAGTATATTTCAATCATGTTACATTTGAAAGCACATTAGTTAAAATACAGGCAACAGACATGTTCATATTACTGTATAGTCAAAGAACTTCACTTCTGATTTGTGTGTTTGACAGACATATGTTAAGAGCAAAATGTGAAAGTTTGTTTCACAGCAGAATTGCCATTCATTGATGGACACTGTAACAGAGTATTGCTGTAAGGATCCATGGCTAACCTCTTCATCAAAGACTATGGGCTCTTTGTCATGGAAATTCCAACTCCTAACGGGTTAACAACTAGAAGACAAGGAAGAAGCATGAACGTTTAATTAATGTAACAATTGCAGTAGTATTTATTTGTATATAAATGGTTAACCAATATGGACTTTATGGGTTAATTCTTATTTCTATGTAAAGGGGTTAGTCTGTTGAAAACAGACAGTTGTGAAACCTTACATGTTAACATTTTTTGTGAAGAGTGTATTTAACTTTACTTACAAAAGCTAAATTGTACCACTTTTAATGATGAAAATGCGTTCCCCCATTTCATGGCTCTCTAATCATAAAATTCTGGTCAGTGTGGCTGACAGCAAATGCACATTTCCATATTGACCCTTCTGGCATGCACTGGTACAATTCCTGAAGCTTAACTGCGAATAGTGCCAACTGGCCCCCAAACACAAAATTCAGACAGCAATATCATGAGTGCCCAGTGAAGTTTTGGTGCATATGTGCCACCTTGTGGCTGGAATTCTTGTTCTTTGCAGGGTCAGTAGCTGAGGATGAGAGCTATCTGAAGGTAGCTTTAGATTGAGGGAGATGTCTCCCACCTAAATCAGCCATATGCTGAGCATAATAACTCTGGTACTCTTCTTCACTCTCTATTTCATTTCTGTCTCCTATCTATCCCTCCCCCCCTCCCCCCCACACACCCGACCAACACACGATACGCTATTTATCACTCCATCTAGTGGAATTGCTGAGGTTGCTGAAGTTGCTCCTGGAGGTCCGTGGTCCCACAGAGAAGACATAGGCAAATAAGCAGGTTCTGGTCTGGATCCAACGTTGGGGTCTGGGCACCCAGACATATAAAGTTTACTATTAATTATGAACAATATCCAATAATTGATTTTAACTATAATCAATATTTATTTTGACTTGCATTATTCAGTTTTAAAAAATCTCACATTTTAGTTCAGTTAAGATTTGGATCACTAGAGTGACAAAAATGTATGCTCCTGTCCTATAACAGTAATATCATTACTGAATTACCATATTATTTATAATAATTAAAACTAAAAGTTTAAATCTGTTTTAAATGCGGTAAAATAAGCCAAAGCAAAATTAATTTTGAATATTGGGCTTTAAACCTATAATCCATTAAATATGAAACAAGTCAGCAAGTTTGTATTTGTCATGTGTCTAAATTATGGTATATCTATCATTATTGTGCCTACCAGAAAGACTTCTTTATTGCTTTCATGTCAAGGGAAGCCATTTATCCAGACGTAGTAGACAAACCTTCCATCGAGAGAATGAATCACGTCTGTCAAGCCAGTGGGCTTTATTGGCATTATCTCCTCTGTTAAGAGCGTGAATAGTTATAAAGCTGACAGGAGGTAGATAGAGGAACATGAAGGACATGAGGCTATCATTAAAAAGAGCAGAGTTTTAAATCCTACCATATGTTACTGGATGAACTAATACATTGTCATATAGGGGTATTGTGCTAAGACAATGAGTTGATGAATGAAAGAGTAAACAGATTTGCATAACTTTATTAATCTAATTATGATATATGTTGTTTTTTTTTGTTGTTTTTTTTTTTTAAATATGGAATATTTATCCAGAATACAGAACACAGGATGTAAAAGTTTTTTTTATTAATTTTGACCGAGGTAAATGTAAGTAATGATTTAAATATTAAAATAATATTTTAATATTCATATTACTGGATTGACTACTGTTGGATGGACTAGACATGGACTACTGGAAAACTGTAGTTTATTTTACATTTGTAGCACTTTACACTACTACTACTATGACTTATATAGCACTACTACTGCCTTATAAAACAGAGTATTCAAAAGTATTCCTTCCTCCCAGTGTGCTTTTTCAAGACTTATCTGTACTGAGGTATATCAAGACCAGGAGACCACAAGTATGATGCCCATGTAAAAGCTATAAAGGGAATTTGGTGGTACACACCCATATGCATTTCTCAGCAGCAGTGTTGCTCTAAAGACCAACCTATATACAAAAAAAAAAAAACAGATTAAGGAACAGTTCACACACACAAAAATACAGTTTTAAATCTTGCAAAGTTACTTAAAATCATCTTTCTTAGCAAACAAATATGATAATTTGGTTAAAACTGCCACAAATTCACCGAACCCAATATGTGCATATTGATAAGCAAATTTTAACATGGGACATAAACAAGTTATGCTTTAAACCACTTCCAGAAGATCTCCTCAAATGTATGCTTTGCTGTGGTCACATCCACAGCGTTACCTATAATGGAGAGGCTGGGTGCTCACCCCAGAAGGAAGATAGTTAGCATGTTTATCTCTCTTAGAATTATGATATGATATCCATGGATATTGGGGTACTCTAACCTAGTGGTGGAATTAACATGATATGCTCATATGGTGTAACTAAATACCCATTTTTGCTTGCTAAGATAGGCATTTTTTGTATGGACTGTTCTTTAATCTGCATTTTCCATGTAAAAGACATCTTCAATCCATAGGAAAACAAAAACATAATGAATTTAAAGAAGAAGGAAAATATTGAAAGTTGAGAAACTAACTGAGAGAAAAACGCTGATACTATTCCATGGATTTAAGATTTGCAAACAAGGATAATTACATGTAGTTACAGAAATACTATGTTTGTCTAGTGGAGTAGGTTTGACAAAAATAGATAAATGAAAAATGGTCAAATTCTGTGCTTATGGCTACTTGTAAAGACTCAGATGACATTTTGGGAATGTGGCTTTCTAAAAATGCAAGCAGAACATAAAAATGTTTGTATGTGGGCAAAATGCGTAAATGACTTCTAGTTTCTTTTTAAAGATGCACTACTAGTATTGAATCATGGTAAATAAGGATTCATCTGCCTCTTTATAGGATGCAACTGTAGTAATTGTTTGCATTGTAAGTAGTGGATGTACATGTCCATATTGTCCATCCTCCATACCTCTACCCATCTGGTGACTATAGTGTCCCTTGAAAGCTCAGAACAAGACAGTTCACTAGAACTGTCTACAGCCTGTCCCTGTAGGCTTTTTAATGTAAACATTGTCTTTTCAGAGCAGTCACTCAGATAGCTACTAGAGGTGCTCTGCATGGAGATTCTGAACACTTCCCATTGATTGATGCAGTAGCCTTTGCAATAGCCTTCCAATTCTTTTCTATGGGAAAACATTGGATTGGCTGAGATTATCAAATTTAATGATCTCAGCCAAGGAGGCAGAGCAGGCAGGAGCCAATCATGACAAGACTGGTGCAGCACTGGAAAAAAAGGTGAGTACATTTACTTTTGAAAAACAGGAAAGGGGGGAACTGGTACCTAAAATACGTTTTTACAACTGTAGTATCAGAAACACATGTTTATGTTCCTTTAAGACAATTATCTGTGACGTAATGGATGTAAGCCAACAGAGTACTGCATTTTTTAAAAATCCTAATCTATAGTATACTGAAATATATCTGGACTCTTAAAATACATACATACATATAGAAATATTTGTAAAAACTAATACTCCAGTATGGGGATTTTCTTTTAATTATAACACTTCAAAACAATAGACAAAGCATGTTACCACATTTTTCCATTTGACTTTTTAATTTTGTCTACATTATTATCTCACACTATTTACATCCCGGTACATAACTTGGTAAACTTGACTTAATTATTTACTTACTATTTTACCATTAGCTGATTGGATGTATATATATAATAAAAAGCAAATTGCAGACCAAAATGTACAGTCATAACTAAAATCTGCACACATTTATATCTCTAAAACTACAGTTTTGTATCAAAAACTCAATTTCCCTCTTTGTTCTTTCCATGACATAGACTTTTGCATACTAACAAATCTGTAGATTCAAGATGTTCTGTTTTCAGAACTCTATAGAAATCTATATATTTATGTTTTGAGGGTGGCCTGGTTCTAGCTTATTTAATCAAGGTAATTAGGGGACCTTAATAACAACTAGATTTATTTAATCTATGTACACTCTGTATCTTAATATACAATAATATTAGGTATTCCTGTTGATTATGTAGTAAAAAAGGCTAAGAGCCACTGTGATCTGTAATAAAATACTTTACTAATAGCAATATTTAGAAGCAATATTATCACCATATGTTCTAATTATGCAGTGATAACTGCATAAATAATGCTTATAACAATAAAGAAAAACTTTCCTTGTGGTACACTTATTCCTAGGGCCAGATTTCCCTTAAGCCCACTGAGACCATGGCCTTGGGTTGGTAGCCATGAGAGGAGCGGCATTGCCAGTAGGAAGATCAAACCTGCATTACCAAGCCCAAAGGCCAGCCACCCATGCCCACCAAGATCAGTGTGAGTGTGCCCACATGGGTCAGCGTGTGTGTCTGCATGGGTCA